GGTTAGCTCAATTGGTAGAGCGCCGGACTGTTGTGCGGGAGGTCGTGAGTTCAAATCCGGCCGGACCAACACTCAGGGTCTTAAATTAACTGAGAAGAAAGTGCAGCCTTTGTAATAATATCTGCAAATGGTTAGACTTTCTAGTCTACTCGGATAGGGACGATAATTGGAGGTCCCGTCTCCTGCAGGGTTGGGGTAGGAGACGTTAATTTCCCACACACGTGATGGATGTCCTCCCTGGGGTGGGATGGGTGGGTAAAAAGGGGGTTAGGTGTCAATTGGAACGAAAGTTCTGTTCCTTTCTCCTGCCATTCCCGTGGCAAATGAATTAAACTTAAACTAAACTTAAACTTAAACTTAAGCTTGCAATTGCCATATTTTACAGTATTGAACCTAGGGATGAAGAAGTCTGAATTTCGTAGGTTATAACTAGTCGATGATACGCTGAAAAGATCGATAATATTCGAAGCTGTTAACTTATATTCACTTTATACATGAGGATTGCAATGTCCTGCAAGCACTTATTGTATAGACTAGTCATCCGTGCACGTGCTAATAACTCGTCATATGATGATTTTCAATCACAAAATACAGCTCGCAAACCCCGTTCATTGACGCTCTCAAGCTTTCTCCGATCTGAGCCTCTGCAAAAGTGCCAAACGAGGCTACAGTATGTCAGAAATGGCAATATGGCGGCCTTGTATATTCTTAATTTCGCTTTCATTGAAATCATGTTGCGCATTGTCATTAGGATGCTCACCCGCACCTCAGCTTTCTTGCAAATTGCAGATATATGATTACTAAACAACGAGTTCCTGTCAAACAAAACCCTCAAGAGTTTAAGTTCATCCATTGGCCGCACTATGAAATTGTCAATTTCAACATCCTGCATGAGTAGAATCGTTTGAGGCATTGCTTGATATTTTCTTGGGTTACCTGCAGGAAATTCTTTCTGTATCATCTCGACGCTTGTCTTCCATCATTGTTGCACTGCATGAAAAAACGGATTTACTTCATATTTGCTGTTGATCACCACTACAGCCTGGATCTTTATGTGCATAGTAGAGTTGATGATCATCTCAATATAATGATAAATGACTGTCACGCTGGATTTAAAACAGATCATTCTGATAGACATTCCATAACATGCGCCCTAGTGAGGAACCCTGGAGACATCCCCTCTTTATTTCCTTCCAATTACTGGTCGCCGTTCCTACGCGTGATCTGTTCTTTCTCCCATCGAAATAGTTTCATCAAAGTTAGAGCACTTTTAGAAAAGCCATAAGCTTTCAGTTTGGCTATGAGTAATATCGAATGCACGGAGTCAAAGGCTTTGTTCATGTCAGTTGACAAGATGGCTACAGTCTCCCCAATATCTCTCTCGTATTTCCAGTCCTCTACCAGTCGTATCAAAGTTGTTTCACAACTGTACCGCTTTCGATATCCTGACATTGAGTTGTCAAATATAATTTCAAACTTATCTCTCAATTGAAAGCAGAGCAATTGTTTAAAGATCTTGTCCACTGCGGGTAGCAAACAAAATTACTGGTCTGTAATTGGCTACGTTTTGAGGGTCCTCTTTCTTGTACACTGGTGCCCATTCCCCTCTTTTTCCACTCCATAGGCCATTCGCTCTCCTGAATTACTTAATTAAATATCACCGTTAAGGATTCTGCAATCTCATCTGCTACCAACTGAAGCATTCTGGGAGACAACCCATCAAACCCTATTGCTTTATGCGGGTTAATACCCCGAAGGGCATCCAAACTTCCTCTCTACTAATGCTCCTGAAGTCAAACATACTTGGCATTTGTCTGTGTCTTATTGCACTTACCCCAGGGTGTCTGCAACAATTTTTGTCAGTCAAGCATAACGCCTCCATTCCCCCAATATTGTCTGCGATTGTTGAAAAGTAACGTGTGAATTCCTCTACAACTGTCTGCTTGTTCTGTTGTAGTTGTCCTTGGATGTTTAGAGAAATATTATCCGAATTCTTATCCTTAGCACACATTGAGCTGATAAAGGGCATAAAGGTTCAAAAGAATTTCTTAGGATGGTCATGGCTAGTTTATTTTAGTAAATTATATCATCGTTTCTAAAATTGGTATATTTTGTTAAACCGAAGTAAAGTTTATCAAGTGAAAACCACGTTAATTTTGGAATAAACCTTCTTGTTGCTGTTCCGATAACTCTGCGTTTAGGCTGCAAATCACCTGCCACCAAACATCGAACTCGTAACAGATTCCAAACTCCTCTCTTCGTCTTCTAAGAGTTCTCTCTGAAATTCTCAGTAATTTAGCAATTTTAGCCCAGCGAAAGTGTTTACTTCGCAAGAATTGCAGTTGATCCTTCATAATTTCAAAAGGAGGACGACCTTTTTCGCCACTCCGACGAAGGGCTAACGCTCGAAACGTCAGCTTTTATAATCGTAACAGTGGCCAATTTACCATTTCAACTTTGTTGATATATTCAAATTATTTCGTTACCCCCACCGACGCAGCCCCAAACAGTTTCTTCAGAAACTATCAGCCTTTTTTTTTCGCCAGTGCCGGCTCACTGGCATTGGTCTTCATAAGAACAGGCACTCTCTGTATTTAAACCTTTGAGTCTTGTACAAAGATGTGTTCGTATATCGTCTAGAATACTCATCAGACCAGCAACTGAATTATTTGCAGCACTGTTAGTGGGTACACTCTGATGAAGAACGCTAAACGTTGTACAGATCTCGGTCATTCGATCAACAACGTTTTCTAAGTCGCCCAGGTTTGTATTCTGGGTCTCCAGTCCCATTGTTGACTGAAGCTAGCAATTTGACCGAGAACCGCTTGAGTATTTTCTAAGAATCTCTCTAGCCATCTCTATGTCGCCTCTTCCTCGACGGTGTAAAGGCATATCGCAGCTTTTCCAGATAGTCTTTAGATTCAAAGCTTTAAAATTAGCGCGATACCCTCGCCCAACACGTCTTTGTGTAGCATAAATTTGCATGTTAATTAGAAGCGTGTTTTAATTAGCACGAGAAAATTCAACTGAGAATAATTTACATACTAATTAGAACGTATTTTTTGCAATTGCCATGTATTTTCTGACTGAGAAAAGGATAATTTTTCTTTCTTATGAGCATAGTTTTTTTCAAACGTGGCATGAAAAGAACATTATTACAATACTTTATTTTTTTAATAAAATGTAATAAGAACATTAGAACATCTAAAACATATTTCAGTAAGAATAATTTTTTTCTGTACTTGGAACTCATTTTCTTTGTAATTAGAATGCAACTGAAGAGTTTAGAAACTAAATGCGAAAAAGAGCATAAATATTTCACAAAGTTAGCATCTAATATGTAAACTGAGGACAAAAATCTTCAGTTTAGAACATATTTATGTAATTGGAAAGAAAAATTGCTAACGGCATTTTAGTCCACTTTGGCGCCTCATACTATAAAGCTTTCCTGAATTGTTTGGCAGTTCTTAATCGACATATGATAGTTTGAATCAGATGTGTTTCTTTGACTCCTTAGGCAAACTGTGACCGGCAGTCGACCTAAAAAATGACTGTGTCACAAACCATGGTTTAGGCTCTCTGAGCCGAGCGTAAACCAAGCGATAGACTTGCGATCCATAAAGCTTTCCTGGATAGTTTGGAATTTCTTAATCGGCATATGATAGTTTGAACTGGATGTGTTTCTTTGATTCCTTAAATTTTTGAGCAAAATATGACTGCCGGTCATTTAGTGATTTGAAAACTGTGGCCGGCTGTCGACCTAAAAAAAGACTAAGTGTCACAAACCATGGTTTAGCTCTCTGAGCCGAGCGTAAACCAAGCGATAGACTTGCGATCTATAAAGCTTTCCTAGATAGCTTGGCAGTTCTTAATCTGCATATGATAGTTTGAACTGGATGTGTTTCTTTGATTCCTTAAATTTGAGCAAAATATCAGACTGCCGGTGATTTAGTGATTTGAAAACCTTGACCGGCTACTGGTCATTTAGCCACAACGTTAAGGTAAATGTGTTCTTCTCGAAGTATGGTCCCATGATAGTCTTGGGCATTATTTTCAGAGTATACATAAAAATGATACATTTAAAGTGAAGGAGTACAAATTGAGAATATTCAAAATAGGATGGTTTCTCAAAACAGTGTACTGTAGCTCTATATTCTCTCTGCTACTCTATAATGAAACCATGTGATTACCAGAATTACAAGTGAAAACCACTCTAAACACGAACAGTTAAATGGAATTAGCCCTTTACTCTGGATGGAAACAAACAAATTGTAGGGTAATAATACAAAATATGCTCAAGTATATTTCACAGGTTCATAAGAACCACTCAAACACCCCCATAAAATTAATAGCTCATCTGCCAAGAAGCTAAAACAAAAATTGGAAATTGTGTCTCGTAGTAAGTATTGAAATAACAGCCATTAATATGTGGCTCTATACCTGCATCTCTGACATACCAAGACAGAAAACAGTTTCAGGATAAATCAATAATTGCATAAAAAACTTAGGCAAATACAGACACAAAAAACATTTAAGTTTCTGGATGTAGCTTTGTCAAATGAAAAGAAGTTTTAAGAGTCATATGTAAAGTGAACAAAACTCACAAGCAGAAACAAGGTTGACGCACTAGTATTTTGCAAGAATGGGAAAGACATGATTCCTTTGTCATCGTTAACAGAATCATTAACTTGAACCCCTGCTACCGCTTCCCTAGCAAAATATAGCTGGCTTTCATTGGATAAATGTAATTATAAAAAACTAAATCATTGGATAATGCAATTCAAGACTTTTTATTGGCTTAGCCATTATGGTATATCAGCCAATATACTATAATCTACAAATATGGTAAGCGTACGTGGCAGCTTAAAATTAAAAGGGAGCTAAAAATTTAATAAAATTTAATAATTTAATTTAACGTTTTTAATAAAACAATTATTCCACTCGCGCTTGTTGGATATGAGATGATTATAGCCAACTCGGCGCTACGCACCTTGTTGGCTATTTATCATCTCATATCCAATGCGCGCTCGTGGAATAATTGTTAAATAACTGATCTTATCCATTAAACTTACTATGAGAATTCTGATCTGTCAAGAGCATACAGTTGATATGCTATGTATAGTTTGTGAAGTTGCCATGTTGACCCAATTATCTACAGCAGAGGTTATCATGTCAAGTTCAAAGTCTGCCTAGTTTCCAAGCCACTTGTCCCTCTAGCATTCTCAAACTCTTGCAAACTCTGAGTGAAGTGTTTTTTTTTTTTTTTTTTGAGATTGCTTAAAAAATATTCAATAAAACAGTTATTGAATTTGGTTTTCATATGATATCATGAATTATCAAACCTTGTGTCTGCATTATCTGCCTTCAGCTTTGGCACATAACTCTGACCTCAACCTTGATAATTTTTGATAACATGATCAACTTCATCCAATAACTGCTTAAAGTTTACCAATTATGAATAGAAAATATGATCCAATTTGGTTTGTTTTTGGGTTACATAGGTCTTTATACTGTATGCTGTTGACAAAATTGCAATGATAAATCAAAAAGGAACAAAACAGTGATGGTTTTGCATGACTCCTGTTAACTGAAACTTAAAACTAGAAATAGGTATAAAGAGAAATTGCAACAAAGGATAATGGTTAACTTTTTACTCTATAAATCACTTTCTATTAGTTTATATTGGAGTACAGAACAGCCTTTTCCTCTAAAACACTGTTCACAAGGCATGAAGCAAAAGCAACTGGTTAGCAGGTCGATCTACCCTCAAGTACTGTGGTGGCCTTTATACAAATTTCATGGAACTCATGATATACATAAATGTAATTATCTTCAAATTGGTTGACTCTTAGGAACAAAAACAAAAAAAACAAAAAAACCAGACTCCCTAGGAAGAGGAGGATAACAACTTCTACCTGATAAGTTTGAGTATTCTCATTACCTGTTTACTGGATATTGTATGGATATTGTAGGGAGAAGTTATATGTAAATCACTTCTAAGAGTTGAAGGGAGACCAGGCCTACAATTGGCTAACTGTGAGACCCTTAATTACCACTAATGTGAGTTCACAAAGTAAGGAACAGTCAAATTTTAATTTGCTTTCAACTTCAGTGTTGGAACAGTTATCTTTTCCTTTGTAGTGATCGTCATTGCTATGTTGTTTGGAAAATATGCGGCCTCGTTTATAAAAACTGGCCACACCACAGATTCCCCTGTGAAGGGGATGGTCTCACCAGAAAATGACAGGAAGAGTGGGTCACCAGGATACAGTGGTTTCCAGTCATTTCCTTCCACATTTGGTGATACCATGGCTGAAAGTTCACCTTCTGCATCAGTGGGAAAGTAGATGTTGCCCAGTGATCTAAAAACTTCTATTTCCTTTTCCTCAAATTCATGGCCATTATTAAACTTGTCCACCTGGTCGAGCACACAACAAACTATTTTCTTTGCCAAATTATAAATAGCAGTGTTCAAAGTGCCGTGTGCCAATGGGCCCATTTCCAAACCCATGCCCTCCACACCTAAATCTCGAACACCTTGGGTGGGAAATTCAGAGGCACATTTGCTGTTTTCGTGTTGGCCCCCTCCAAAATGGTGCCCTTCAAAATTCCCCTCCTTCAAGAGCATAATGCGTAGCTCAGGGAACTCTATTTGCATTTGTGCTGCTACATGTAACGGGAATGGATCCATAGAGCTGCTCATTATAAAAAAGGACCCCGTATTTGCAGTTGCGTTGTGAAGATCTAACCAGAAATCAATAACCTTTCTTCCGGCCTCATTTTGAAATTGTGAATACAGTTCTCGAGCTCTCTGTATTTCATATGGACAACCTTCCTCCTCTTTCTTAACAGAAGACAACAGATTTTCTGGTTTAATCTGTCTGTTGAGATCCACATCAATGAAGCGCACACATCGTTCGACAGCCCTGGGATTCGCTAGTACAGCATGAGTTCGAAAAGAATTTCTTTTAATCTCGATAGCACCATTTCTCAGCCAGTTTTTCACCAGGTAAACGCCACTGAGTTCATTTCCGTGCGTCCCACCGCTGATACAAAGAGACTTAACTTGATCATGGCATGCAACTTGGGGAGCCGCCATATTGTTTATACATCTGAAGCAGGGCTGAGCCGAAAGGTCACGCAGCGAGCAAGATAGCGTGACTCTGTCACGCGATCATGAGGACTGATGGTGTAAAGAGAAGGAAGTGCTCTGGCAGTTTACACGTATGCACTTTCATGGCGTGATTGTGATCTCCTTACGATCCAAAATAATCCAGTGTAACGAGCCTCTATGGATTAATCCAACCTTGAAATATCTCATCAAACGACGTCAAATGGCCCTCACTCAGGGAAACTTACCGGGGTTTAGTTTGCTGACGAATCGCGTCAATCTCACTTAAAAGACTGTGAACAGTCTTTGTGGTGGAGCGAAGTAAAGAACTTTAGTGCCACTTCCTCTTTGAGAGAGACAAAGGGGACCTTGTAAAATCTGTGCGGCATATGGCCGAGGCGTCCATAGACAGGACCTGGTCGATATTATAAATAGGGACTTTTTGTCGCCAATGTGTACTTTCAGATTCCTACATACTCACTTCAAACCTCGGCAGAAAAAAACGATCTCTATCCGTCGCACCGTTTGAGGTCCCTGAACTCACAGTCTACTTGAAATTTCGTTGCCTAACCACAGGAAAGCGTTCGGTCCCGGACGTTATTCCAGCATGGCTATTGAAAGAGAACGCTAACCATCTGGCGGGTTCTGTAACCTTTAGGGGGGGGACGTTTTATCCATCTTGGAAAACTGCCAATATAGTAGCCGTCTCCATAAACAAAAGCAGGTGAGGGGCGTCAATAAAAACTTACGCCCTATAGCTATTAAAGAGTGCGTGCGACAAGCTATGTTGAAGACTGGTGCATGATAACCTATTCTGGGTTCATCCTAAAGTCCTCCACCGCGCGCATGCGTTACTAAGCATGGTTCATTCTTAGACTAAGCATACTGACGGAACTGGTTTTACTGTTAGAGTTGTTTTGTTCGACTACCGAAATGATATTGATTTGACAGATCATACAATTCGTGTTGTAAAAAATGTGGCCTTGGTTATCCCGTATGGTATTTTGTGCCGGATCACAGGCGAATTCTAAAAGATCGCAAACAAACAGTCAAGCTAAAACAATACTGCAAGTGGGAATGGGGAGATACCCCGGTTGGAGTCCCACAAGAGACTCAGCTAGTTGTCAAGTCTGATGAGGACAAATTTTAATTTAGTGAGAAACAAATGTAAAGTGATGCGTATTAACACCGCTTAATAGGAGTGAAAATTACCGTGCCCTTTGGAGTGAACAACTAAGAACTGCTTTGATATCCCTTTGGATGCGTTGAGTGGAAAGCCGTATCAGTCACAGCAGCCGAGTTTTATGAAGCTGCCACCCCGAGAAATCGTCTTGTTCCTGTGAATTTGACTGTCATTAATTCATAAAAGCCTTGAGCAGTTTTTTTTTCTAATTGTCATGTGAAAAAAAAACTCGCGTGTTTTTAAGAGCCACAATTCGGCCGGATTCCGCTGAACATTTTACTCTCAGATTATGTTATAAGATTAAAAGATCTTCAGGCAAAAGTGTTAATGTCTACCTGCCGAACTTTTTCAGTTTATAAAGTATTGATGGTTTAGGAACCCTGATGCTTTGACAGTTTGGACAGCTCTAGTCTTGTTCAACCAATCAAATTACTTGAACCGTTCTAACGGAGATTCTGATTGGCTTATTGTAGCGTGTTTTCATGAGAGACAGTATAGAGCATGTTGACGACATTGTTTTCCGCTCGAGAAATAAAGTTTGTTTTGAAAATTAAAAAAAAAAAAATGCGTAGGAAACTAATGGATTCTTTATTATTCAAACAAATAAAAGAAGCCATTACTGGGCTCTGTTCTGTTGTAAAGCACTAAGGAAGCAGTTAGAGAACTCAAGAAGTAGGAGGAAACACTTGACTACGTCTTGTGTGTCTCCTTGCATTTGTTTCATGTTCAAGCCACTTTCCGCGTGCTTTGCAACAGAAGAGTGCAGTCAAGGCTTCTTTAATTCCTAAATATAAAAACGCTATTGACCAACTTGAAAACGTTATTAGACTCAACGACGTCATTAAGTTAAGGCGTTTAAATTTCTTCGAAATTCCTACAATTTCCAATCTTTATCTTCCTACTAGGAAAATAGCAGATATCTTCTCTCCAGAGGTTTTTCCCACTTCATCCAGCGACCAGGTATGGAGAACAGGGAAACATGTCAGACGGAGTGGGCTGCTTTGGTGTCACACCAAACTCCGAATTTGAAAATATGTAGAACTTGAGTTCTATGAGAGAATTTCTAATGACATCCGGAGAGCTAAAGGGTTACATGACTGGTATCATCTTACAGTTTGTGTTGACATGTAAATGTTGCAATTTTTAATTCAGTTTAATTCACTCTACACTTACCTATTTAAGACATTCAGAATCATACTATTGATCAAACAACAAAGTTATTATTTCTAGCACTGATGTACACAATCTGTCCTTCATTACGTAATTATTGCCCAAACAATCGTTCTTGATGAAAAGACGAAAATGCTATTGCGTCGTCAACTTTTTCTTTGTCAATTTTGTCAGGGAGGCAGTTAACGATGCTGCACGCTATTAGCACAGTCTCAGAAGCAAACAAAACATGCGCTGTGATTTTATGCGCTGCAAACCGATTGTCTCGGCTGCTAGTAATTAGACAAGCCGAATAGTTACACATGCAACAAGAGCCTGGAAATTCTGACTGGTCGTCTCTGAGGTCGATTGTCAAAATTATATATCATTTAGGTCGAAGCCCAAAGAAAACAATTTTGGGAACATTCGTTTTCGCAACAACAGAAATTTTCTGATCGTTTTGATTTCTTCCGGAACTCAGAACGATCTCTACAGTTTCTACATTGATTCTTACAAGCCGTTTTAGCGAAGCTTTTTCATGTTTATTCTTTTAATTTTTTTGATTTTTTTAATTTTTTTGTATTTTTCCCCCTTCCCTAGTCATAATTGAGCACAAAAAAAGCAGGACTTCTAGATAAAAACTGATTTTTCCCTAGAGGAAAAGGGTTAAAATGGAAATGCAGAATGATGCCGTCTGTACTTTATGTTAAAAAATAAGATTCCACTCTATTGTCACTTATTGCATGATTTTTACTTGTGCCAGCGTGGCTTCGAATGATAAAATTGCGCGTAGTTCATCACGTGTTTGAACGCTACATTTCATTTTCACAGCCCCATAGAGAAGTGAGATTTTGTATTTTTATCACTCCTCGAAACTTGAAATGCTCTCTTGAAGTTCTTCGATCAGAGGCAGTACATTAAAGTTTCCAGTGCTGCTTGGTGCTCCATATGCTTTTCGCAAAGCTATTACGATTTCTCTCGCCTTTTGAGCTCCAACTTCCCCTCCCTGTTGTTTGCGTCGCTTCTCTATCTCTTGAAGTTTTGCGTCAATCTCGTCTATGACAGTCATTGTTTGCTCCTGTGCCTGGCTTCGTAGGTTTACTTCATCATCGTCTGACTCAGTTCCTCCCTGTTCAACAGAGGTCAGATTTATCAAACGTCCTACCAAGGATGGTAGGCTTGCAGTACAGGTGGACTTTCCATCTACTTCTTCCTGTGGTTCAAGAAAATTAATGCTGAGGTTATACCATAATTTTGCAGCTGCACTGATTTATACTTGTTAAATTTCACTAAATGTCAAACAGTTATTGTTTGTCCTTCTGCGGGCTGATATTTTTCACTTAGTTTTCGATTAGTAACCATTTATAAAAGTCTTTGACTCTGAGCTTGGTTTTGAGTATTTTGTTGTTGTTTGTCTAACATGAATTGTACAAGTACAGCAGTGATGTGATCCCGCTGCAATGACCCAACCAACTGAGTTATTGGGAGAGCCCCTAAAGACCTTGCGTTCCCGTGAAATGTTTTGTCAGCGCGTGATTTGTAATACACATTAGTATAATTTCAGAGCTGAACAAAGAGTTTCCAGCAATCTGATTGGTCGAGCGGTTCCTTATATGACGCTATATAAACCGCTCCGCGCGGTTTATATAAATTGTTAAACTAAAATGTTAATAAATGTTACTAAAATGTTATGATTTTAGAAATTTCTCTGTTGTTCAGCTCTGAAATGATACTAAAACAATTATTATATGGCTGTGTCTCACAAGGACTGGCAACTACCGAATTCACGAATTTGATTGGCTGAAATCAATATTGAAAGCGGTCTAGATTTTCCCATCTAGACCGGCATCTAGACCGGTCTAGAAAAAAAAGGTACAAAGAATATAAAAAATTGGCATATAAGACACAGCCATATAATAAACATCTTATTAACCGCGCTAGGTCGGTCTGTATGGGAGAATCTTGACCTCGGTCGCTGGTACAGACCTCACTGCGTTCGGTCTGTACTGGCGACTTCGGTCAAGATTCTCCCATACAGACCTCCCGCTCGGTTAATAAGAACTAAGTAAAGGGACTTAATGCAAGACACATTCGCCTCAATCTTGTTCTTTAAATTTGTTCTTACTTTCATCGAAGACATCTCAATTTCTTCTGGACGTTTTCTTTCCTTCCCACGCATTTCATGTTCCAGCCTTCTTTCTTTCTTCTGGTCATCGTCTTGTGCTTGAACTGTTCCACATTCTTCTATGTGAATAGCCTCCCTTGCTTCGAGAGCGGGGTTTTCAAGCTCCCCTTCACGAGCACGCTTTGATCACAGAAAAAAAGGACGATAAAGACTTACGAAGTAAAGTAGAGAACGCAGATTGTAATGCACCGATCAATTCATAGCCTCAACATCCCCCCTGGGTAACCCACGGGCATTTGGTTCGTCCGTGCACGGGGATGAGACTTGTAAATGTACTGAGGTAAGCTAAACAAGCAGTACTGACACATAAATTGTATGCGATAGTTAACTTATAAGGAAACTCAGCATGGAAACACGACAAAATTTCTGCGAAATGGTCAAGGAATTATTAAGTTATTTTTCAGCCTATAAGTCCAAGGCTCCCTTTAATCCATCAGACTTTGGCCCTACTGTGAAGTATAAAGTTGCTCAAAGAGATTCTACACCGAGAACGCACTCTCGTATCAATTTTTATATGCTTTCTCGGAGAACGAGGCAAAAGAAAAGAAAACAAATATCCTAAATAAAAAATATATATATATGCAATACCGTTAGATCCTCAATTATCTCATGGCTAGGTAAAGAGACTTCCATTTCTAGCTCCGCTGAAACAGCTTGTACCTCCTGTTGTTTTCTTTTAACCAGGTACCTTGCACGCCTGCATGCGCGTCGCACGAGAAATATAACTGCAAACAGTAATAGCAGAAGAGCGGCCCCTCCACAACCGAGCACAAGAGAGAACGGGAAGGCCTTGGGCTCCGCTGCTATCAAAATAAAATCAGAATAGATATTTTAACCTTGATCTCAGACGGAGACTGGTTACAAATTGTCATACAAAGAATTTTCAAAGAAAAGATAAGACCTTCTATTTACTCGCATGTAAAGGAAAAGACGAAAATTCATGTAAGATTTATGAGCCCAGTAGAAGCAATCTTCTTTGAAGACCATCCTGGACCCCATATAGGTCTCACTGTACAGCTTATTCCCATTTAGATTAAAATTCAAATGGTTCATTCACCAAAAATTTCCAAAAAGGTTGTATTAAGAGTGACGTCTGTGCGGCTTTACGTTTCTGGAAGCATTTGTCAGGCAACTAAAGCGAAACTTCACGGAGTCTTCCCACCGAATCTTTTAGTATTACCATGCTCCTAAGCGCCTCATGGATAAATGTAATCAGTTCACTTCAATTCAAGAAAGTACCAAAGACGACTTTCGTACTTTGGGAAGAAAACACCGAAACGCTTCCTTAGCCATGATACCTGTGTCTGACTACATCGTCGTCCTCCTTGGTCTAACAACTTGTTGATTCTTTTTTAAGCATAACCAATCACTGTTAAAACAAATACAAGCTTACATGTACGCGTTATTAACCAAGCTTGTTCGGCCAAGATGAGTGGATATTAGCCGATTTTCGTTTTTAGGCATCGAGACGAAGACAAGGTCCACAAAATCGCAAAAAAGGGAAGGAGGTTGATATCCAGTCATCTTGACCAAACAGGCTTGGTCAATAAAGGATTTATTGCATAGCAAAGATATTTCGCTTTATTAAGAATCAAGAGAGACTTCTTTTTTTCAAGAGCCGGCAAAGAAACCCAACCGTATTTGTAAGACAACAACCCTCGAAACTCGTTTATTTTTTCTTTGTTTTGACTGTCATCTGCTGTTTTCTGTGACTTTATCAGCGATATTATCTAAAAGTTACGAAAATTGTAAGTCCGGTCCACGCAATTTTTTTCCAGCGCGGGATCAAAGCGGGCAATCCCGAGCGGGCACTTCGGGCCCATCTTTCCCGCTCGGGTAGCCAATCAGAACTTAGGATTAACCTCACATTACCCATGGCCGCCACCAACTATATAATAACAAGAATTGTCAAAGTTCGTGTCTTTGTTACCTGGCTCAGCCTTCGGCTTCGGCAGATACCTTAGACCTCGGTACTGATAATTTATCTCATTCTCAACCTCATCCAATAATTGCTTATTGCTTACCTACGCAACTGTTTCTCCCAGGACAAAGGGTAGTCGTTGCTTCATATTTCTCCTGCCCACCGAGAGGAACATTGTTTATGGAAGGATAAAAGTATATTTTCTCCTTCTCTGCTCCTGTGCAGCTAAGCATGTAAGCATCCTCAGCACTGTTAATCTTTCGAGTCATAGGGCACTCTAGAAACTTCATCGATCCTAGATTTTCTCTTGAGGAATACTGAACAGATATTCTGGCATATTTCCTGTTTTCATCTTCGATGGCTCTCAGGGGATTCTTGAATCGGTCTCGTAATACAACTAAGAATGTGAATGTCCCTTTTCTGGTGGTATCAGTTCTAACATCCTCGACGGTACTCTTGATTGCGTCAATTGGATCTACGAATGCACAAACTCATGATTATTTTTAAGTTTTTGAATGTACATGGCATTTCTAAACAAAAAGAGAAGTCGCAAAAAGAAGGAACAGTATCGTAATTGCTATGTTGACTGACATAAAAAGAATGTTAATTTAATATTATTTTATTTAAGAATGTTTATTTATTCCTGACCTTGGCACAGGGTGCCCAAGCTATCCATGAGAAGATAATATCACAAGCACTTAGTATGATAGGATAATATTATAAAGCTTGGTACAGAAATTTATGCTCCGCTCTGTAACTCCGTAAATGATAAAGCAAATAAACTCTAACCTTCCAATAGTGTTGTTTGTGCTATTTTGGTTCCCTGATAGCGATTTCAGGTCATTTCGTACAGGCAATATTTCCCACCTCCTCCTTCTCAGACACGGACGACGGTCAAATGCTCGTGGGTTTCCCGTAGGGGAGGAGAATATTGGCGCTTGGAATCCACATAATTCTAGTACTTGTCTGATCGTATATGTTAGCCAGAACCCTAAATTACCAAGATTTAAAAGAAATCTGGTTTAAAAATTACTCACATTGGATAAGAATCTTCTTGGAAACCCACTCCACCAGCCTGTTACTTAGAGTCAAGCCAACTCGCAGACGAGTGCTGGGTGGAAACTCAGGAACATAGCAAGAAACAATGGAATCCCTACAGATCCCCTGTTGGGTCTTTTTTGTACCATTCGCTGTTTGAAATCTGACGAAATACCGTATCCAGTCCTTACAGGAGATGCCGCTGATGGTCAAGTGAATACTTTGAGCCGGCGAGACAACTGAGGGTGAGATGTTTGATACTTTGAAGGGCTCTGTGACAAAAAAATAGATCATTGATACCTTAGCATGCGATTGGTATATGACGACCATGCTGTGAAATATTAGTGAATTTGCTGTAGCTTTGTTTGAGTCAATTATTGTAAAATCATGTCTTAATCCAGGTCATGGTTTTGACAGAAGATAGTGCCAAAAGGGACCTTCATTAAGTGGTAAGGACGAAAACGCTGAGGAAGACGTCGATTTAAAAACGAATTTGTTTTTTTTTTGGCTAGAATTTTGCGAATGGCTGGATGTGTTTATCGTCTCCTATGGCGCCACACTTCACCTTCAGCATGACGTATGTGAGCAGCCAATTGAATCTCTAAGTAAATTGCCGTCAAGGTTTCTGTTCCCAGACCACACACATTTTAGCGATTTAACGTTGTTTTTTTTTGCAAAGGAAGGACAAGAAATATGTTGTTTTTGGCTTTGCCCTGTCTTCGTTGTCGTAGCTGTCGTGGATTGCTTAAGAACACTGCTGCTAGTCATCATGAGAAAATATACTAACCATGAAAGTAGAGCGGCGTTTTTGTCTTATACAGTTGCCCACCAACATCAAGATGAACAGAAACTCGGTCAACATTTCTCATTGGCGGCGTGTCACAGAATATAAAACCATCTTGCATTCTGGCCGGAACTGAAATGTCTTTGAAGCGACACTGAAGGCTGCTGTTTGACGTCATGTTCAGAACGCTGTTAGTTTTGATGGTCAGGGTTGTGACTGCTCTTATAGGGACGACTGCTGGCTGAAATGTTTGTATTTCCAAAGGTGAAGCTGAAAATTTAAAGCAAAGGACAACCTTAGCCAAACGCTTGATACTTCAGTGGTCTCAATAAAATATGGTAGAAGTGAATAGTTTGGAGAAGCAGGCGGAAAGCTTTGAAGTCCTGGAGAGCCTTAAATCATTCCCAGGGAGATCCGGTCTCCCTCAGGAAGTTTTGAAGATCAATACTCTTAATTAACACATTCCTGCATTGTCAGGTCTATTAAAAAATATTCTTTACCATTGTTGCTAGAGTTCGACCAATTCTTGAAAATTTAAAGAGAATTACACGTATGTTAGGGCATTACAAATGGGTAGATTCACCCGCTAGCCAGTGGATATAAAACCCTCTACACGAGAAGTTAAAGATCAGTTGGGGAAAGAGCATCCAAATCAAGACCTGGCTTTCAAAAATAGAAACGCCAGGCCGTTAAAGGAAAATATCCTTCCCATATTAGGGTAGGGGAGGGGAATAGCCATTTATAAACCCAACTCGTCTCGGTGGGGACAAGAAAGTCAATCAAATTTCGTTGAATGACAGTTGCAAAAACTTAAAAATCTTAATTCACACTACCACAAAATCTAACAGGTCATAGCTACGTTATAAATGATATAGATATTATAATCATTCAAATATTTTTGCTTTCATAGCCCCGTGAAAAGGAGTGAGCTTGACTATAGCAAAAGTGACTTGGGAAACTTGAGAACTTAAATTGTAAATAAGTCATGGCTTTTATCTGATGGTTTACAGTTTGCTAAGGTAATTGAAATGTCAGTTCATACACAGGAATGTACATTCCATATGACCTATGAAATACTGGTAACTGACAAAAAATATCTGTGTTTGACAGTGCAGTTGCACCCTAAGTGACAAACGTTAATGATAGCCTGTAAGCATAAATGTGTGGAAGTTATGATGCCAATTGACCGTATTTTTGCTTGGATAACATGGGGTTTCATGATTTTCAATTTTCAAACTTTCAACTTTGAATTGTAACTGTTTACCGTAATTATTCCTTTTTACTTTAAGCCCTCAAAAGTTGTAAACGGTGAGTCTCTAATTAACCTGATTTCCATCGATAAAAATTGTGTGAACATAATTTTGCGTACTTTTAGTTGCATGTGTACAACATTGTAACATGTAATGTTATTTGGATGGCGTTAAATATTCAGGCTTAACCTTCCAATAGTGCATGGTGTTCTTACAAATGTTGATAGCCAATCCACAAATGGAGGGAACTTTGATACAGCCAATTGGTCACAACATATGCGAGTTTCAAAAGGTGGGGAATCTGGAAAAGCAAGGATCCTTCTTTATTCACTGAGTGAGATCTTAAATTATTGGGTACCCTCCTCTTTTAATTTATGTTTTTACTTTGACCTTTCCTAATCTTTAGGGGTAACCTTGACGCATAAAGTTTAAATCAATTAGCATTCACATGGTGCATAGGACGAGGATATGGGCTCTTTACGGCTTGATAGCTTGGTTACAAAATTTAAATAATTGGATTGTGCCCACGATGTCCTGCTTTTTATTCTCCTCTGGTTATATGCACAAATAAGCTAATCATCATCACTGACACATTCACTCATTTGGTCCACTAAACTAAAAAAGATGATAACCTTGTTTGTTAAGTGAAGAGAGGAAAGTCTTTGCTTGAGACCCCTTGTCTACATGTTCTCCATGATCCCAAAATTCCCTTGAATAAATCACAGAGAGACCATACCATGTGTTCGTTGACACGAGGCCAACAAAATCTATGAAGGGTTACGAATAAAGCTGTGGCTGCAGCGCTGTGCAGTCAGTTCGGCCAGCGGCAATAAGTACAAGTGTTTAGCGATCGCGGCCCTTATTTTTGTTTTGTTTTTTTTGTTATTGGCCGCTATCTTGTTTTACTTTCGCTTTTCACGTGTATTAGCTAAGTCAGTTCCAGTTAGTTTGTAGTCATGATCCACCAGGTCCATAACTTCCAAGTATACAACCTAAACGGTAAGAACATTTCTTTGGTATTACGCTCGATTGTTCGAAGTTAGACAATTGTATGATTAACCTTTATATTTTCGCTAGAATGTTATCTCTCAAGACTGTGTGAATAAACTTCGTTTGGGCTTTTGAAACTCCTCCTTTTATGTCTACAGGAGGCAGCCACAAAAGCTCTGAAAACTGCATCTCTAAATTGCATCCAAGCAGCGCTTGGCATCCTGCGGCAGCCTACCGCGGTTCAAAACTTGATTGGTTAATTTGAAACGCCCTGCATGCTTCGAATTCCTTTGGTCACTGAGTCTTGCGCCGATCATATCGAGAAAGCTGTATTGAGTTGAGTTTCATGATTTTAGCATCGACTGTATCGAAAAACGCCTGAGGGATGAATCTCAAATTTGGGAAAGTGAGAGAGCAACAACTCATTAATCAACAACCGTCGCCAGTCTGGAGAGATGTTCAGTAGTTTGGCGTTAATTTCAGTTGGAAGTAGAGGAAGTCGTTTTCGGAGATATCAATCAGACTGAATTCGGTGTATGATCTTGTGTTTATTCCATTCAACCAATGTTAAGAGTATCTGATTAGCGACGTACATAAAGATTAATTATACGTATATAATTGACAGGTAATGTCCTGATTTCATTACAGTCTTAGCTGGTGACCACCAAGTTGCAAGCATTGTCACCCTTTCTTTTCTTCACCGGCCTCCAACTAAAAGTAATTTCGTAAAAAGACTCTTCAAACGGCCCATGAAGGCGAAATAATACCAAACATGAGTCAATTAACATTACACTTAACTTTGTGGAGATATTTAGACCGAGATGTAATTTAGATATGCAATTTTCAGAGCTTTGTTCATAACCCTCAGAGATTTTGTTCGTCTCATGTCATAGCCTGTGAACAGGTTCTCTGCTTGGAAAAAAAAGTTTGTTTGGGGAATTGGGGAAAGGGGAGAGAGCCTGTAGACATACAGTTGAGGCCACTATTCCGCCCTCTTGTAATTATCCTGCCGATCATCTGTAAGGGAGATCGTTATCTGTCAATCAATTTCGCGCGGGCATGAGTAGCTCTCCCGCGAAAATTATCGAAAATTATTGAGCGAAAATTATCGAAAATTATTGAGCGAAAATTATCGAAAATTATTTAGCGAAGATTATTGAAAACTATTTAGCGGAAATTATCGAAAATTATTTAGCGAAAATTATCGAAAATTATTTAGCGAAAATTATCGAAAATTATTTTAAATTATAATGGTACAGATTTGGATACTACGACTTCTCCAAAACTTGAAGCTCTCGAGTCAACGGCACTACGATTCTCTAAGGCGATGCGAATTATGGACGTAAATTGAAAACCGAACTTTCGGACTTCAAGCAGGGCCTAGCGACAATTTGACGATTCGATGGCCCGGTAAATGTTATGTTCGAGTAACAATGTGTTCAAAAAGTATTGTTTAATAGAAGATTTTGCGTCAAATC